TGGAAACGGCCGCTCTCGTCAATTACACGAAACTATCCGCCGAAGCGAAGATCGACGACGACCTCAGCGGCGAAGTCTGCGTCCCGCCCAGCAAAAAACTCGAAGATCTCATACATCTCGCGGAAATGTGCGTGGATTTGCTTCAACAAAACGGAGAACATTACTCGGAGGTATTAGTTGGGTTTCTCTAACTGAATGTCATCTTTCAGGATCCTCGAGGAAAGAACGCGGTGCGTGCTCCCTCTCTCTATTTCTCTTTTCTCTCTGGTCTCTCGCTTTGCCGAACAAGCGAATTCAGGTTGTTCGATGATAGAAAACTATAGTAGGGAAAAAAATCGATCGGATACACGCACCGCGTACTCGAGAATTCTTTGCTCAGGGCGACGCTACGCGATCCCACGCTTGCCCTGAGCGGAACGAAACCCGTGCCCGTCGTCGTATATGTGTGACGTCCAATATTTTCACGATCCGCTCCTACTACACTGTACCGCAGGCGTTCGCCTGGTTTAGCGACCTCATGGTGGAGCACGCGGAGATCTTCTGGTCTCTGTTCGCCGTCGACATGGACAAGGTGCTCGCGGAACAGCCACCGGACACCTGGGACAGTTTCCCGCTCTTTAAAATCATGAACGACTACCTGCGCGAAGACGGTACGTTCGTTTCTACTTGTTCGCGATGCCGCGAGCTTCGAAAAAATTCTTTCCTTTTCGTTTCGCTTTCCACAGACAATCTGAAGAACGGTAGATTTCATCAACATCTTCGCGATACGTTTGCGCCGTTGGTCGTGCGTTACGTCGATCTGATGGAAACGTCGATCGCTCAGTCGATTCACAAGGGTTTCGAGAAGGAACGCTGGGAGATCAAGGGAAACGGCTGCGCCACCTCCGAGGAGCTCTTTTGGAAATTGGACGCCCTTCAGTCCTTCATTCGCGACTTGCACTGGCCGGATCAAGAATTCCGTCAACACCTCGAGCAAAGGTTGACTTTGATGGCCTGCGATATGATCGAGTCTTGCATTCAACGAACGGACACCGCGTTTCAACAGTGGCTGAAGAAAGGTGTAACTTTTATATCGACCGATTACATCATACCGTCGGAAATGTGCGCAATGGTGAACGTTATTCTCGATGCAAAAAATCAAAGCTTCGAACTTTGTACGATCGACGCCGTTGACGTGGTAAGCCTGTTTATCGTTTACCATTTGCCACTTCCCGTTTACCGTCCTCCGTTTTTTTCTCTCCCGCATTCCGTTTTCTCGATTCCGTTTTCGTTCCATTACGATAGAAATAGATAACGAGTCGATCCCGTTTCCTCTCTTCAGCATCAGTATCACGCCAAGATCGACGATTTGATCGAAAAGACCTCGGCTGCCATGACTCAAGGAATGATCAACAAACTGGTTACCGTATTGGAGACTACCCTTTCGAAGTTGTCTCGCTACGACGAAGGATCCTTCATAGGCTCGATTCTCAGCTTTACGGTACGTAACATCGATTACGCGGCCCGTGTCCGTGGTTGATTCTTTAACGGGACTCTTTCCAGAAGGTATCGGGCAGCGGTAAAGAAATGGGACAAGCCTACGTGAACTTTACGAGAAACTGCATCGACCAGATTCGCGGCAAAGTATTGGACGAACTGTGGATCTTGACGTTCTTCGAGGTAAGCGGTTGATCGAATCGTCTCGGTGTTGCCTCCGCGATTACCTCGATGCGTTTATTACCTCGATGCGTTCTCTTTATAGCAATGGTATACGGCGCAAATACAAATGCTTTGCAACTGGCTGTCCGAAAGGCTCGATCACAGTTTACACTTGTATCAGTGTACCTGTCTCGCTCACATCGTGAAGAAAATTTACTCGGACTTTGAGTTGCACGGCGTCATAGAGGAGAAACTCAATTCAATGACATATCAAACTATATATAAGAGGATGCAAACGGAAGAAGCGACTTGTGCCTTAACCAGCGTTCAGAACGAAGAGTGAGTACTCTTGTACGCGTTACGTCCTGCCTGGATTCGCGATCTTTAACGCCCTGCTCGCGTTTTATAGAGGACTTTCGGAGAACGGTAACGACGACGAAGTGGAACGACCAAAGACCAAGGTAACGATCGTCGAAACGATGGCTGGCGATGACGCGAACTACGTTTCCAATATTAGCAACGTCACTTCGAACGTTGTTGGAAAAGTTGGAAGCATGTTTGGCAAGGGCATCGGTGGCCTTTCTACGAAATTTGGCGGCGCCAGTTGGTTCTAATTCTCACCGTTACTTTTTTCTCCACGTCTTTAGCGTTATTATAATTAACACTATTACTGCTTTTATTTATCTTACGCGTATTACTTTCATTTCTTTCTACTTTGTCCACCCGATAGTTGTTCTTTATAATCATTATTATTACTATTATTATTATTATTATTATTATCATCATTATTATTACTACTATTATCGCGATTATTACCGATGATCGTTATCGTTTACGGTATTTTGCAAAAGTGTATTTTACAGACGACTAGTAAGTTTCTTTGTCTATATATATATATATTTATATACATATATATATATGTACATAAAAACAAGAGGGAGTTTCGACGACAGACAGAATTGTCCGCAGTACGATTTAGGAAGACGTTTCGAAGTACGATTGTTCGGTACGATCGATCGAGAAAATAATTTTTACCGTTTCGACGTCAATGCGTACTCTTATTTTTCGCCGACCATGGAACGTTCGTTATTCGATCATGTTCGTTCCTTCGAAAGTTCCCAAATAATCACTAATCGTAAATCGTAATTGGTCTAACGTCTAATTGTATAGAAAAAGTTGTTCGAAAGTCGTGAGTCGTAAACGCGCGTGTATATATATATAATATACCATTCGATAAATAGTGTAAATAGATTTTATTTCCATGCTTTGCAACGAACAGTCGTCGTCGACTACCATCGATATCGAACCGCCTTATTTTCTCTATTCTTTCTTGTAGATTGTACGAAAGGTGGGCCATTTCGATATCGCGCTTGATTTAACGACACCGGAGCAAACAGAAAAAGAAAATAATTTCGATCGAAATCGCCAAGAGTACGTTTACGAGAATCGAAGGCAAGTTTCGTAAACTCGTCGTCTGTCTCGAATAATTTTTCTTCAAGAGGCTTTCGAACGAACGAACGATCGAACTAACGACAAAAACGAGAAAGCTATATGTAATCGATACCTGGCGATCTGTCTTCCGATCGATACATATTTTGAAATTTAAGCGTGCGCGAAAGAAATACGTGTTTGTACGTTTTGTTCCTGTCTGACGTACTAAATGAAAGCTGATCGACGTTGATTATGATGCAAACGACACGCGATACTTATATTTAAACGTACTACATATTGATCGAGGAGAATGCGTGCAGCATTCGTGAACAGTTATTGATAGCAGTTTCTTTGTACATACATACTTTAGCAAAATCGATAAACGAAGGAAAGGAGATTTTTATATAATGTAAATTATTGCGTTTAAACGCGTCTAATCGTACGATGGTGCGATTCTACGCGTGCTGGTCGTCGGTGAATAGCAGAAAAATATGTCTTTCGTTCGACGAGATTCGCGTAAAAGAAATGTTTCTTAGATTACTTTTGGCAACAGTTCTTCGCGCGTAACTCGTATCATTATCAGCTAGATGTATTTGAAATTGAACAAACGCGCGTCGGTTATACTTTGTTATTTCGCATCGCATTTCGTACATACGATACAAACACGAATACACACGTACACACACACACACATACACACACATGCGAATACGCGCGCGAGTTCATTGTTACACGTTTAGTGGTACTGGCATGGGACAGATTAGAACGCTCGATAAATCGAATGGATCTCGAATACGAATTATCCGAAAACGTCTTGCTTCTGTTCGTTTCGATGATTCGTCGCGCGTGCCGTGATCGATGTCCCAGAAATAAATGCCAAAAGTGGTTATTCGAGGCCTTGAAAAAAAAAAAAAATAACTTAACAGTATGATTTAGCGACAGAACCGCGTGTAAGTCTTTCGACGGCGAACGTTGAACGTAACGGGCATTTTTTCATCTCGGACGGAAATTACGAGCGCTAGTTCGCTAATTCCGTTGGAACTATGAAAAAGAAGAATGTGACCGTGAGTAGTGGACTTTATCAAAAAAAGAAAAAAAAGAAAAAAGGGGAAAAAAAACAAAAAACAATTAAAATTAAATCGTTGTAGCATACTTGCAATCGATGCTAACGGTACTACACAGTTATGATTATCATTCTTACTATCGACTATTCTCTTGTAATCTACGACTAATTAGACTAGAACAATTAAGAAAGGGTCTCTACTTGCTCCAACGATAATACTCCCTCTCTTTCTCTCTCTATCTCTCTATCTCTCTTTCCCATACCCAGGTCTCCATCGTTCTTTCACAAACCCTTTCCTATTGTTCTTTATTCCCCTTGCTTTTCATTTGGAACTTCCAACTTTTTCAACCCGTTTCGTTGTTCGTCAGCCAATTCTATTCGCGCGTTTTCCTATTCTTCTGTTTTTCATAGCCGCACGCGGCATACACGCGCACAGAGTTAAACACGAAGAATGACCTCTAGGTAGAAACCGATAGAAACGAATACAGCAGAAATGTTACAGAGACACAGACACAGACACGGGTACAGGTACAACTGTAGATAGGAAGGTGGAAACGGGGCAAGAAACAAGTACATTAGAAACACGTAGCCCGATGTTTTCGACCCTTTATTCGTTTCTTCGTCTCGCTATTTGACCTCGATCGAGTTACCCTTATTTTAGTTAAATATCATTGCAGAGAGTCTTTTACTACTCTAGCCGGTGTTCTATTCGATTAAACTTTTATGCAGTTGTTGTTCTCTCGTTAATAAAATATCCGACAAAAAAGAAACGACCACGGTTCAGAGAGTATACCCAAATTTAATTTCCTCTCTTGCGATATCGGCGCACGAAACGTCACGCATTTCGTCATTTCTTCACGTAAGTTCCATCGAGCATCTATTCGTCTCTCTGTACGTACACGCGTATAATCAGGACTCTAACGTCTTAACGCCCTAACGCCCTAACACGGTTACGATCCGAGCGTCTACGCGTAAAACGCTGCTCGCGCGAATCTTACGCTTAGCGACGTAAACGTACGCATTTTCTATAAAACCAATCATCATGCACGCACGCAACACGCATTTTCACGTAGCATTGTCATTGTACCAAAAGCGAATACTTTTTGTAAATAAACAATATGCTAACGTTGGTACTCTGCTGGTAATCCTTGCTCCAAGGATTTCTATTTTCTATGTAAACCATGCTAAACCATGCTAAACCATGTTATTGATCATCTAGATCGCGAGTAATCGACCTTACCGTTCTGGCTCTTCTTCTTTACAAACCGGTACATAACTTCGAATCATCGGTTTCGGTTTTCATTGTTCATTAAATTGGCCGCCAGTTCGTTTTCTCCTTTATTATGTATACCTTTCCCTTCTTTCTTATTCACGCGTATCTGTACGCGTCAATCAACCTAGCTCACTCTTGCACGCGGGTATCGGTATGTATACGCATTTAAGTACGAATTATCCAAGCTGATAGGACTTAATCTATACAACCATATAATTTTTACTGTTTTTTTTTTTTCGTTAACGGCGTGTATCGCGGCTATGCCGAGAGCGCACGTTTCGAATTAACCGCTAGTTTCTATCTCTACGATTGGCTAGACCGGGAGCTGAAACGCTCGAAACGTGATTGGTTAAAAATCTCGGCATTATACTCTTTGCTCGTCCGCTACATCGAAACGACTGGTACATAGTAGAGTTTTCGAAGGTCGTCGATCATTTCGTTAAACATTTAACGAGAAATGATTCGGAGCGAGAGAAGCTCGTGAAAATAATAGTTCGAAGGAGGGTATAAATCGAACGAGTAACTCGACGATTCGTTGGTCGACTAATTGCGCGAGGTCGTGATATATCGAAGTACAGTAAGCGCCAAAACGTAGCCAAGCTTGTTTCGTAAGAGTTCGCCTACCGACCTTCGTTTTCCCAGTACCGTTCCGCGTTTCTCGACCCATTCGTTGCCAAGATAAAATCTAAAGTCACGAACCAGAGTGCAGCGAAGCGGCCTGCACGCGTTAATAACGATCAATCGTCCGAGTAACTCGATCGACCGAAACTGTCTGGACACTCTACGATATTAAACGTACAATTCACGGCCTACAATGTTTTCGGTAAATATACGTTCGAAAAGAGCGCGAGCTCGAATATTATATCTTAAAGAACTTCCGACACGTCCGTAGTTTAAAGACAAATGAAACATTCTACACCTTCCCATTGTTGGTCGTTTCCAGTCTGTTGCTAGCAAAATTGTTCGTCGTTCGTTTTCCACTTCAAAATGGACTTCCGCACAACAGGTAAGAATCTTACTTGATCACGCGTTTTTCGTTCGTGCTCACGCGACGAACATAACCTCTTTCGTTTGACAAGATCGTTTCTCGCGTGTACGTACGTTTCTCTTCTCACGATTCCGATAACTTCTTCGAAACGATACATTTTTCTACTTATTTTTCTCACCATACTCCTCGAATAGATTCGACTTTTGTCGGTTCGTTAAGTCAGCGAATCGCTCGACGTGGCCGATTAGAGCGCGAAGGGCAACAAAGGTCATTCGTTTATGAATATAATTATTTAACCGCGAAGCTTTTTCCGATGAAAATTTCTAATTAAAGTAATCGATGCGCTGCATCGCTCGCAATGCAGATAACGATTCGAATCGTTATCGAATCGGTCGCTAACGCGCCGCTAAAAAATTAAACGAAAAATCAAATACGAGGCTGATCGTTAACGTACGTTCGAACGCGCTTTGCTTCCTTCCGGCATACGCTAAACGCGGGAATCCCGATAGATGACTGTCCGAGACGCTTTAAACTCGGCTCTGGACGAAGAAATGGAAAGAGACGAAAAAGTGTTTTTACTCGGCGAAGAAGTGGCACTTTACGACGGAGCGTACAAAGTTTCTAGAGGTCTATGGAAAAAATACGGAGACAAACGCGTGATCGATACTCCCATCACGGAAGCTGGATTTGCCGGTATAGCCGTTGGAGCTGCTATGGTAAGTTGACTCTTTACCAAGTCGATTCTTATCGTTCCTCGTTTATTTTTCTATTTCTCTTTCGAACGTTTCAGGCTGGCCTACGTCCTATTTGCGAGTTCATGACATTCAATTTCGCCATGCAAGCGATCGACCAGATCATCAATTCCGCAGCAAAAACGTTTTACATGTCTGCTGGACAAGTAAACGTACCGATCGTGTTTCGTGGTCCGAACGGAGCAGCGGCTGGCGTGGCCGCGCAACACTCTCAATGTTTCGGTGCTTGGTACAGTCATTGTCCCGGTTTGAAAGTGGTATCCCCTTATAACAGCGAAGATGCCAAAGGATTGTTGAAAGCCGCGATTCGAGATCCCGATCCAGTGGTCGTATTGGAGAACGAAATTTTGTACGGTGTTCAATATCCTATGTCGGACGAGGCTTTATCGAAAGACTTTGTTCTGCCGATCGGCAAAGCGAAAATCGAACGCGTCGGCAAACACGTTACCTTGGTAGCTCATTCGAAGGCGGTCGAGCAAGCTTTGGAAGCAGCGAACGAACTCGCGGGGAAAGGGATCGAGGCAGAAGTGATAAATCTTCGATCTTTGAGGCCGCTCGACACCGACACGATCGCGCAATCGGTGGCCAAGACAAATCACCTTATAACCGTTGAACAAGGTTGGCCGTCTTCCGGAATCGGAGCAGAGATTAGCGCTAGAATTTCCGAGAGTAAGTGAACGTTCGGTATTTATCCGCTTCCCCGCGCCCCGCCAATTACACTCCGAATGTCACGTATCGTTTTTACGTTTTCAGGCGAAGCGTTCTATCACCTCGATGCACCGGTGATGCGTGTCACGGGCGTCGACACTCCCATGCCTTACGCCAAGTCGTTGGAAGCCGCGGCGCTACCGCGAATGAGCGATATCGTGTTGGCCGTGAACAGAGTACTGGGCACGTCTCAGTAACCAGCCATTAAAGTACAAATCGTTAGGTAAAATTACAATCTCCCCTTGATCCTTTTGCCCTCTTCCGTCGTACGGCCTCTCTTAGCTATCTCGTTGATCGAAGAATAACTACGAAGGCTTAACGATCATAGGATAAGTAGTAGAAAATTGTTTGGTAGTCGAGCCATACCGTGATTCACGGAACATACGCGTACGCGGAAAACAATGTGTTCGTTCGAGTTAGCAAGTGTGCGCGTACGCGCGTGCGTGTGTGTAGCCATGATCGTGACCATACAACGATCGGATCGAATCGTTCGAATACCTTGATCCAAGAGAAATCGATAACGACGCGAATCAACGATGTTATTTTAGGTACGAACTTTGATCGTTGCATCCCTCGCGGATCGGCGACGCAACGCTTTCGTTATCTTTCTCGCTCGAAAATTTTTAACGATACTGGAAGACGCTACGCTAGGCTACGTATAAGTGACTGAAACGATAAAATTGTAAATTATAGCCGTATTCGAGATAAGCGAATAAATACGCTGCATTTGTTTACTAATTATTTATTGTGGCAAGTTAATAAATTGAATCGGCATACGTACAATTAGTCGAATTTATCTATCTACGACATGTATATGTGTATATATATATATATATATATATCTTACTTTCAATTATTATCGACGTTGACCGTGCTCGTTTTCTGTGTACCATCGTCTTCTTGCATCGATAGTCACGTATGGTACATGCGCAATAAGCAACACGTTACAACGACCATGTAACGTTCAAAGGCGTCTCTTACTTCGGTATCCCTGAACAAAGCCAGAAGGATAATATCGACGAACAGTAATATTAATTTACGCTCGTTTCGTACCTAAATACATCCATGTCTAGAGCGCATTGAGTATAAGCCGCGAGGAAATTTCGAAGATCGGTATGGGTCCAGTTCACTTGACGCCACGGCTCGATGCATCTCTCGACCAGCTCCAGAAAGAAGAACCGTAAGTCTCTCGATCGATGAAGGTTACATCCGATTCCTAGTATAGCTCTCGTGTACGAACGAAAGTTCGAATCTATTTCTTGATACGAACGCTCGAGAAGCATCGGTTTAAGCTTGATGCACACCAAACTAGAAAAAGACAAAGTTTTATCGTAACTGGAGAAATTCGATCGAGGAAAAAACTTACTGTTTATGGTGTTTGTCGTTCTCCAATAATATTCTACATTGGGCTAATTCCAGTAAAAATTCTCTGTCCAAATCGGTATCAAAATATTCCGATCCGATACAACGATACGTCCACGACGACATCATGCTGTTGGCACAATGATAGATATCGGGAAAGGTTAAAAACTGCAGTTTCCTTTTGTTCATCTCGAATCGGAGGCAGGCAACGAACACGACGGCCGCGTATCGCCTACGCGACGATCATAAACGTTAACGCAAATTCGCATTACCGAGAACGCGTATTAACAAGTGTCTTACGGCGTTACTTGGCAAGGTCTTCGGAAAGTAAAAAGTGTTGCTCTATGTTGGCAGCCAACGATCCTGACAAATCTTCCACGACCTTAAACACTCTCTTCACGTTGTCGTATTGTCTGCGACAACTTTTTAGCGTGATGCCCGTTTTCTCCGACACTTCGTCCATGTCCTTTCTACTCTTGGACGTTAATTTTTTACCTAGTAATTCTCTGATCACGACATCGTCGAATTCGTAGTACCTACGAATCTCGAATGAAAGTCTCGTTAGAAACGGTAAAAGTTTCGAAGTTGCGGTAAATAAGGCCGCTTACATCTCGATCAGCATTTGACTAGTTTGAGGTTCTATTTGAAAGGCGAGTTGTTCGCTAGCCAATTTGGTAGGGGTATGAAGCAGCTTCTCCAGAAGCGCGTATGTCCGATAATGATCCAGAATATCGGAAGCCACCAATTCGATCGATGCACTCGTTTGATGACATATTCCTCGTTGATGCAGGATGTTGACCGCTTCGCTCGCTAATTTCGTAAGCAATCGATTAGTTGGATTAGTTTACCGCCGAATAGAACGTAAATCGAATAGAACGTAAGCCGATAAAACTCACACGAATGGCCATCGACCCACAGTTGATATATCTCGGGATCAACGAGAGTGTAATTACTGATGAAAACGTCGACTTCTGACAGCATCGCAGCAGCGGCGGCGATGTCGACGATACGCTGTACGCGATTACCTTCTTCAAATGGAAACGAACCTTTTCGTGCTTCGCTTGGCCACTTACCGATTCACGACATCGCACACGCTCGAAAATTCAATTTCGTCAAAGCACATCGTCCAGGCTCGTCTAAATTCCGTCAACGATAATCAACCTCCGTGCACCGTGACGTTCACGGCCAGTGTTGTCACTAGTTAGCAATTTTGCCAAGAAAATTCCCTACGTCAAGGACTTTTCCCACTCGTACGTAATCCAACAAATATTCCCACGCAACTCGACAGTCTCCAAGAACTAACGTATCAGACGACGAGTTATTGTCTGCTAATCACGGATACCTTTTAGGTTCATTTCGATTAATATAGTTGATTTTATTACCTTAATTGACTGTAATATGCATCGAATCGCGTCGGAGTGCACGACCAATTAACTTCGAATTGTTTTCACATAACCAAACTATTAACAATTATTAACCATTTTTAGGCTAGGTTTCTGGCTAGTGTCCCGCCATCTAGCGATAGAAGTTGGGAACTAGTTAAACCGCAGGTTCAAAAGCGTGTAGTTCAGCCTGTTCGCCGGAGAAATGGCGCCACTTTTCGGCACTTTGACGACGCAGTATTGTTCCTGAGGCATTTAGAAACAAATTTCTATTAGGGTTTGATGCGTTTTGATGCCTAATAAAGGCAGAAAATGAATTTTTGTCGAATTCGGTCGAAAACGGTACAGGTGGCGCCATCT